TAAAAAAAAAAAAAAAAAAAAAAAAAAAAAAACCAGTGGCGGAGAAGCGTGTCTAAGCGAGACACGTATCACGCTTGGACGAAACCACATGTTCTGGCTAAAGTGTGACCGATGGCGTCTCGAATGACCGTCACATACTCGACCTCCTCCCAATGCTGGGGTGCGTCAACCTGCCCCGCCAATTTCACGTCAAACTTACCGTTCCTATAACCATGCGGTAACAAAATCGTGTCCCCGTCAATGATGAGCTCGTTTCTGGACACGTAAATAGCTGCCTCTGCTGAAGTCTTATTTCTATTTCTTACCGAAACACACAGAACCCTAGCGAAAGGGAAACGATAGAGTTCAACATGCACGCAGAAGTACGACACACTCCCCGTCAAGTTGTCCTCGAAGGGAAGGGGATATTTCTCTAGAAACTGGTTGTATTTTGCACAGTCCAGCAACTCCTCCTTCATCGAYGGTCCCCACAAGCGCGGCRAACACGACACGTTGTGCGCASTCAACGATAAAGACAAGCCTCGRGTACRAAAYGCTGYASACAACCTCGGYGTGTGTTTSGTCAYGAGGATGTGGTCRAGGAAGATGAATGTCCCCCATTCCTGGCTGGAGGCAAGTCGATAATAAGACGCCCATGGGCAATCTTTCATGGTGTTCTCCCAGTCTAACTCGGACCATGCATCGAAAGGCCTGTCAAGCCAGGGCACAACGTGCATCCAAGGGTCCGATTCGAAGTCATCTCTTCGAGCCCCAGTATAGTAGCCGCCTCCCTTGAACCCCGCATGTACGGGGCGCTAGCATTCAAAGGGAAAGAGTAATCGAACCAGTGAGCCATCGCGAATGTCCTACACACACAAACGATTGACGACCACAACAAACACTTAGGGAACGAGAGAGCCATTGCTAAGGTCGAACCAATGTCGCACACACAACAAGGAGCCATCGCAGTTGCGAATGTCGTGCACACAACAAGGAGCCATTGCAGTTACACACAACAAGGAGCCATTGCAAATGTCCAATACACAAGGAGAGAAGGCACACAGAACGACAAGCGAGGCGAACTCGACGGCCATCGTCGTGTTCGTCTCGCCAAAGCCAATCGGTGCCTATCCATCGTCGAGTCCGAATCGACGACGGCCAAGGCCAGACGACCGTCATCGAGTTCGAATCGACAACGGCCCAGCGTTAAGACATATGGCCAGACGGCCGTTGTCGAGTCGAACTCGACCATGGGCCACCGCCAAGGCCTTTGGCCGTTGTTGAGTCGAAGTCGACGACAGACGGCCATCACCGAGTTCGACTCGACAGTGGCCAGACGGCCTTCGCCGAGTTTGACTCGACAGTGGCTAGACGGCCGTTGTCGAGTTGGACTCGATAGTGGCCACACGGCCGTCGTCGTGTCGAACTCAACAGTGGCCGGAGGCCGTCATCGATTCGAACTCGACATATGGCTAGACGGCCGTCGTCGAGTTGAACTTGACGGTCGGCCAGCGCCAAGGCCTCTGGCCTTTGTCGAGTCCGACTCGACGATGACCGTAGACCGTCGTCGGCCAGACGGCCGTCGTCGAGTTCGACTTGACAGTGGCTGGAGGCCGTCGTCGAGTCGAACTCGACGTATGGCCAGACGGCCGTCGTCGAGTCGAACTCGACGGTCGGCCAGCGCCAAGGCCTCTAGCTATTTTCGAGTCCGACTCGACGATGACCGCAGGCGGTCGTCGAGTTCGACTTGACAGTGGACAAACGGCCGTCGTCGATTTGGACTCGACAGTGGCCACACGACCATGGTCGAGTTCGACTCGACAGTGGCCAGACGGCCGTCGTCGAGTTGGACTCCACAGTGGTCACACGGCCGCCGTCGAGTTCGACTCGACAGTGGCCGGAGGGCGTCGTCGAGTCGAACTCGACATATGGCTAGACAGCCGTCGTCGAATCAAACTCGACGGTCGGCCAGCGCCAAGGCCTCTGGCCATTGTCGAGTCCGACTCGATGATGACCACAGGCTGTTGTCGAGTTCGACTCCACAATGGCCATAGGCCTTGGCGCTGGTCCACCGTCGAGTTCGACTCGACGACGGCCTCTGCACGGGCGGAAATGCCACGCGGGAGCAGGTCGTTGCTTCATGGGGGGTTACCGTTCTCCCAAGCCTACGCTCCTGCCTTCGATGCGAATGCTCGGAACTTCGCTCCGATGCTGTGCGAACCTCCGATGTGCGAATGGGAGCTCCGTTGCGTTCTGCGCAAGCCTCCGATGTGTGAGTGAGCGCTCCGCCTGGTTCGGACGATGCGCGCGAACCTCCGCAGCGCTCTGTCGTTCTCGACAAACTTCCAGAAATGGAAAATGGTGGGCCCATACCACTATTTATACTTTCTGTGGAGGGCAGAATGGACGCTCGGCACAACCGTCCAATCGCGAGATCTTGACGGTTGGGGTGTCAGGCAGTGCGGCCTGCGGGGTGTGGATTCTGGTCTCGGTGCCGCGGGGGAATCGATGCCGCGAGAGCGACGTTTCGAGTCCCGGGAAAGTATAGGTCGTCGATCCGTCGGCTGAGGGCCAGGATCGGATACCGAAAAAACACATGCCGCGGGGAGAATCGGTTCTAAGGGGGCGACGATTCGACAGCCGGTGCCTTCCGTGACTGTTTAAACGGGCTCCGCAGGTGGATCCAAGGGTCTTTTCCGTTGCGTTGCTCCCCGAGAAAAGTACCGGTGCAGTGTCACCTTCGTGTCGACGCGACAGACAACTCCGTTGCTGCTCCGATTCGTGCCTCCTTTGACCCAGGTGAGTTCAGAATCCACACCGCCCCCGCCACCCTACCGAACCCCCCGCCCCCCGTCACGCCCCCCCCCCTTTCGCCGTTCGT